GAGGCACTTGTTTGTCTCCCTTCTGCCAGCACTGCTGGGGCCTCAGCTCTGTGGGGCTGTGTGCTCCAGCAGGATCTCTTGCTCACAAGCCACCCCTTGGTCTGCCTGCCCTCCTCCAAGGACATTCAGACCACTCTGGGTTCTCAGAAAGCTCAATCCCTTCTGGCTGGAAGCAACCACAGCTGTTAGCAACACAGGCAAGATGTTCAGCTGGGCACCTACCCACACCTTTTGAAACAAAGTATATAAAAATAAAGAACAAGTGACCTCTATCATAACTGATAAGAAGTACAGGATTAAGTGCATTAAGTGTTGCGTAGAAGTACTTTTGGAAACCAACCCACAGATATGTCATGCCAGCAATGTACAGTTCACAATTTCAGTCCCCAGTTCTGACAGTTCCCTACTCGCCGCCAAGGTGGTCTCAGGCTTGCAACTTCTTGTTCTCTGGTTTCTTGGCTCTTTTCCATGTGTTGTCACGTTGACCTCTTCCCAGCAAGGCCTCTCAGCTCCCAGACAGACATCATTAGTCCCTCAGTCTGTAACGAAATCCTGCTTTTGAGAACAGGCAAATGAATGTACACCAGCAATGGATGTAATATCACATCTTTGGTCTTCTCCTGGTGGAGCCATAGGTCCATGTGAGCCTCCCATTCTTCCATTACAGGTAAGGCAACACAAATACAGCCTGCACTGTTACCAAACACCATGCCAGGCTAACATGCTCCACTGATGAGCAGCAACATCCTCAAGCAGTCCACAATTGACTGTACAGAATGAGCACAGATGGTTCATTCAGTTGTCCATTTGCATCAGCAGTTGATGACACTTCCCTTGTAATATGGGATCTTTTTGTTGTACTATCCATAAGAACAGAGATGATCCATCTGAAAAAGCTGTTTTAATAACTAAAAATTGAGTTTGAGTACAACAGATATATTATTTAATTTAATCCCTTACAGTTTGTTGTTTCGTTTGATTGGGTTTTTTTAACTTGGCAGTTGCTTTTACACCACATGCCATATTTGGTAGTTATCACTGCTATTGCATTAAACAGCAAGTTTGTTACCCATTTACCTTGTCTATGATTCAAAATTACTGCCAATTTCCATAGACAATCACAGAACAGTTGAGGTTGGAAGGGACCTCCTGAGATTATCTGATCCAACCCACTGCTCAAGCAGGGTCACCTAGAGCTGGTTGCCCAGGACTGTCTGCAGATACTTTTAAGTATCTCCAAGGATGCAGACTTTGCAATCATAAGAGATGCACAACTCATGTCACATTTCAGAGTATTCTAGAATAGTTACATGCCTCACATATCAATTCTTCATCTCTTTCCCCATCTTAGAGGATTAATATGGATACTATAGGGTTTGTGGATACTTGTGGATGGTGTGATTTTAGTTCTAGACATGCTCAGTGGCCAAAACTAAAACTGCACCACCTGAACAATTAAGAGCATATCAGGTGATACAACTGCATCCCCCATCATCACACTGGTTCCAAAGGTACCACTGGTATCATGTGCAACTTCTGTGGCTGACCCACACTAGGATCCAATCTATCAGTTCAGTCTTTTTGTCCAGTCCATGCCGTCTTACCTGCGGAGTCAGATAATTCTGGAAGAACTAAAAAATGCTTATTACTGGAAAACCAAACATCTGAGGTCATCCCCATTATCTCCAGATCTCATTAAAATTCCTTTGACATATTTCCCAAAGGACATAAAATTATTAACAGCAGTGGTGATGCTCCCATCCAAACCATTGCTCTTACACCTAGAAGCCAGCAGAACACAATGAACAGCATCTGCAGTGCTTTAACAACATTCCTGATGCTGTTTTAAAACAACATAAGCATCTTGAAGACAACTGTTCTCAGTGAGGCACTCCATGGTTCACACCTGTGATTGATTCCACAGCGATTTCCTGAAGACCAATCTTATTTCACCTTAGACAGAAACATTCTCTTTGATTTCCTGGCAGTGAGTCTCATCTATCCACAAAACCCTCCCTTCTTTGTTTCCAATTATTTCTGTGTTTCCCAACCCATAAAACACAATCGACTCTAAGTTTTCTCTGGGCCTTCCCCCTTGTACCTGTGGTATGAACAGGATCACATTTCCCAGTGGGGGTGGATTTTCATATTGCTTTATATTGGCGTGCTGCTTCTCAGCTGTATGTTGAACCTATTAGCTCTCTCCAGCACCCTCCAGGACTGTGGATGGTAGGAGATGTGAGTTTACTGATGCACCCCTACGCCCCCCAGGAACTTCTGGTCTGGTGCATCTGTCAAGTGGTTTCCTTTATCTGAACCCGTTAAGATTGGAGGACCACATCCATTCAATGCTTCACACAGACACCAATGTATAATGTAGGCAGTAGTCACACACTGCCATTGCCTCTGTCCAGCTTGCTGTTCTGTCAATGGCAACAAATGTGAACTGACACAAACCCTCCTTCAGCCTCTTGAAGGGGTCCATGTAATCAGTTTGCAACTGTTCAAGTGGTGCCCACTCCCAGAAGCCAAAGCCATTACCCAATGCAGCCTTACAATTCACAGAATGGTTTGGGTTGAAAGTGACCTTTAAAGACCATCTAGTCCAAACTCAGGGCTGCAAGTGGTTTCCAACACCCGAGTACTCCACATCCCTGGACTTCCACAGAAATTGTGAAAATAGGGATTTCTGTGCCATATGGGTACTGGGGTGGGAAGAGGCAGGTCTTTGGCTGGAACCACATCACACTCTTCATTTACTACACTTATTACTCTTTTACTTTTAGATCAGCACTTCACTGCCTTCAGAACTCCTGCGATCATTTCTCTTTCTGAGGCAGTAGCAGAACAATTTTCCCTTGGATAAATCTACCTTGAACTAAACCAGGAGATTCATTCCTAAAATGCTTGCACCTGCTTTTACCAGAATAATTCACCCATTCAGTTTATCCTACCCTGCCCACAATTAACCTTCTACTTCTTTTCCCTTTCTTTTACCCCTTCCTACTCCCAATATCCCGACTGATTTAGCCAGGAGCAGAGGACCCTGATAATCTAATAATGCTGTCTCTTATCACATAGCAATTAAGAAAGCAACTCCCCCAGCCCCCTTTCAACAGACTTCACACCTCCACGCAGCCCCTTCCCCCTGCACATCAGGTCAGGAAGTTAATTCCAATGACACCAGGGGCTGGGACTCCTAATCTTTAGGGTCCCCTGTGGGTGGGTATAGCTTTTTCTTTGGGACAGGGGGAGGACCTGATACATTCATCTGTTTCAGTTTTTCCCAAATCTCCTCCTGCTTCATCCCCTTTTCCTGAAGGATTTTCTTCATTTTGGCAAGTAAAACTCCTGTGGGCTGACTATCTAGCTCTCCTTCATTCACCCCCTGGCTTATTAAATATCTCCAAATTGTCCGTCTAGGAATGTATTTCCTCCCCTTTGCCCCAATCCTCTCCTTGTTTGCCATCCCTTTCCCCTCGGGTCCCATCAGGGTACCCATGTTCTCCAAGGTAGCCATGCACTCACCCAGGGGGCGGCCAATTAAAGTAGACCCCATGCTGATGAAAAACCCCTTGTGCAGCTCAGGAACACGGCAGGCCAGCACCCCCACATCCCCCTGCTCCACGTGCACCTCAAAGATATCGAAGTCAAGGGTCACCGGTTTCTCCCTTTGCTTTAATGCTCGGAGTAAGACATTCCCACAGACGTAGGCTGACACCTCCTGGACATCTCTCCAGGGTGCCCCCTCCATGTTGTCTTTGAGAGGCTCATACTCTCCCAGATTTCTGATCACCAGCCTTAAAATCTCCCCTCCCAATATCTCATTAGCCGGCAGGGCTCTGATAATGGCCCCTACCTTGGGCCAGGGCAGCCCGATGGCTGTCACCACCCGCTTCGCCGCCTCGTGCGTGAAGGGAGTGCACTGCTCCAAGGTCCATACTCGGTTCACCCACACGGGCCACCCCTCCTTCTGTTTCCTCCAAATCTCCTCTTTTCTGGACATATCCCCCTCTCCCTGGCCTCTATCTCCCTCCACCGGCTTCACTTTCCTCGCAGCCCCAGCACACACGCCTTGCACGGACGACTCCTCCCGCATCTCCAAACTCCAGCCGCCCCCACCCCACACCTCTGGGTCCCAGTCTCTCTTACTGAGAGCCGCCACCTTCCTCCGACCCAGACCCTTCCCCAAGGACAGCAGGGTGCCCAGGCACTGCACCTTCCGTCTCAGCCGGGCGTTCTCGGTCGCCTCGGCCCGCAGCTCCTCCCGCAGCTGCTCGTCCTGCTCGCTCAGCCGGGAGCTGTCGCACCGCAGCGCCAGCACCTCGTCGCGGGCCAGCTGCAGACTGTCCTGCAGGCTCTGGATGCTCTGCTCCTTCTCTTCCACCGCCGCCTGCAAGGCCCGCGCCAGGTTGAAGAGCAGCCACTGCAGCGCCGAGCATTTCTTCTCCCCTTTGGGATGGTACAGGGACACGTAGTTCAGCCAGTGCCGCTCCGCCGCTTCTAGCGTGGGGTCCTGCCCGACCACCTTACAGTCCCACGGGTCCCCGCCGTGCTCCAGCATGGCTTGAACCAGCAGCCCCCGTTCCTCCTGGCTCGGGGAGCTCTCCGGCTCCTCCCTCTCCTTCGATTTCCCCCCCCTCGTTAGCCAGGACATCTCAGTGCCAGCCAGCACCGGCGGGCGCCGAGCCGGGACAGCCTCGGGCGAGACCACGGGTGCTGCCCCCGCGGCTGTCCCTGCCCAGCCGGATCCGGCGCAGCTGAGGAGAATGGGCCGAGGACACGGGCACAGCGGCACCGGGACTCGGGCACAGAGCACCGGGACAGAGCACCGGGACAGAGCACCGGCAGCGCCCGCCACGACGCGACAGCGGCTCCAGACGTCCGCCCTTCGCGATGCCCCCAAACGGGCTGGGTGGCGCGCCGCACGGCCAGGGCTTATACGTGGCCCCTCCCCGCACCCGCTGTCCAGTCCCGTTCCCTGCTTGCCGCTGGCCGGGCGGGGCTCCCCGCGACACCGCCCCCGGCAGGGGCGCATGGCCGCGGTGCTGCGCAGCGCCCGCTGCTTCCTCCCGAGGCTGCAGCCGCCGGTGTCGGGCCGGGCCCGGCGCGGCTCCGCGGGAGCGGCCATGGAGCAGCCCCCGCGCGGCCCCGAGCGCGGCGGGGGCTGGTTGGGCGCGCTGCGCTTCGACAACCTGGCACTGCGCTCGCTGCCCGTGGACGCCTCGGAGGAGGGCGGCCCGCGGGCCGTGACCGGCGCCTGCTTCGCGCGGGTGCGGCCCAGCCCGCTGCAGAACCCGCGACTCGTGGCCATGTCGCTGCCGGCGCTGGCGCTGCTGGGGCTGGAGGCTCCCGCGGCCGACCCGGAGGCGGCGGAGGCCGAGGCCGCGCTGTACTTCAGCGGGAACCGGGTGCCGGCGGGCGCGGAGCCCGCGGCGCACTGTTACTGCGGGCACCAGTTCGGCAGCTTCGCGGGGCAGCTCGGCGACGGCGCCGCCATGTACCTGGGCGAGGTGCTGGGCCCGCGGGGCGAGCGCTGGGAGATCCAGCTCAAGGGCGCCGGCATCACCCCCTTTTCTCGGTAAGGCCCGGGGGGAGCGGGGCGGGACCGTGTCGGAACAGCCCGGCGAGGCGCGGGTTTGGGGGAGAAGCGCCCGGTGTCCCCTGCGGGGCGAGCTCACTGCAGGGAGGACCGGGACCGGCTTGCCGGCTCGCAGATCGCATTAGCAAGGGGCTGGCTCCGTGCTGGGGATCGTTCTCCGGGCAGAGGTCATCCCTTAAGCCCTCGTGGATTTTTTTTTTTTTTTAATCTTGGCATCAGCAAATGTAATATTTAAATGCTAGACCAGGAGGTGGCAAACTTTTCCTCTGGAAAACGAGTGTAGCGGCATCTCCTTCAGGTGGCGCGTTACTTCAGTCTCTGGTTATCCTGTGCGGGTTTTCCCTTTTTGGGAGAACAGAGACCGTGATGACAGTGGGGATGGCGCTGTGTAATACCCACCTGGCTGCTTGCTGCCCTATGGCCCACACAAATGGTGTTTAAATGTGGGTGTTTGATTGTGCTGCTGGTCCTTCTCCCCCATTCTTCCCAGCTGTGGAGGGAATAGTGGAAAAGTCCCCAAAATGGCATACTGACCAAATTCCTGCAAGGGTTGTGTATCTTCATTAGTCGCGTGAGCCTGCACTACTTTAAATATTTCATGTAATTTTTCCCACTTGCATTTTCCATATTTTTGTTCCAGCTGTGCACAGGCTCGGTAACACCTTAGTTTCATGCACGTGGTCCTCTGACGGCCTTTTTCAGGTCTATGAAGATTAAGGAAATCACAGTAAAAATCCTAGATATGGTGGTAACATTGTAGATCTGCCCTGGTCAGCTCTCCTGCTTGCTTGTGGCTGAGAACCACCTGCGTCTGTTTCTCTTTACTTAATATCTATTAAATACCCTAGTTTGCTCTTTTTTGTCTGTTCAGGTAGGGGTTTTTTTAATGCAACTGCTATGCATGCCCATATTTAACACCCCATTTCTAGAGTACTTACCCGGAAAAATACAAAATAATATTTTTATTTTATTAAGAGGAAACCATTCACTTGATATACAATAAAATAGCTATACTTGTCCAAATTTTTTTCATTTTTTGGAAAGACTATTACATTAATGAAACCAACAGAGTTAATGATTAGAAGGGATGTGTGTAACTGGAAGGTTTATTTTCTTCTGTGCAGTCTTCATTGCAAGGCTGTTTTGTCCATCTAATTGAACTTTAACAGAAGTTTGAAAGTCCAGCTTTTGTTTTCAGATATGCCACTACTTTTTTGTTTGACTGTGGACAGAGTGTGACACTTTCAGGCTTTTGTTTCTCCACTGCTACAGAGGAGACAGGAGTTCCTGCCTTTATAGCCTAAAAACTGTCCATGTCTTCTTGCTGCAGACAAGCTGATGGTCGGAAAGTCCTGCGGTCGAGCATACGGGAGTTCCTGTGCAGTGAGGCGATGTTTCACCTGGGAATACCAACAACAAGGGCTGGGACATGTGTGACGTCTGACTCAAAAGTCGTCCGTGACATATTTTATGATGGGAATCCAAAAAATGAGAGGTGTACAGTTGTTCTGAGAATAGCCTCCACATTTTTAAGGTAAAAACCTATTTTGTTGATTGTTTTTTTTTTTTTCTTTTAAAACCAAGCACAGCAGTCTTTTAAAATACTGTTTTGAGTGTATTTCCCTAACAGTACTGTTTGTGTGTTTCTTGTTCTGGAGGCTTGGAACTTCTTTTGCTGGGCTGTAGGAAGCTGTTTTTCTTGCCCAGCAGATGGGATGAGCTGGTGTCTTTGCACAGACACAGATAAAACGCTAGGGATGCTAACCTGATAGAAAGAAGTAAGTTCTGCAGACTTATTAAGAGATTTTTCATGTTTATGCCTGCACAGAATACAGGGGTTTTTTTGATGATAATAGTAGTGGTGGATTGTAGCTCTACCCTTAATTCCAATTCTAATGTAGTACTGTTAAAGTTCGGTTGTACTTTCCCTGCCTGATAACTGTATGAGGTTCCTGCTCCAGCAGAAACCATTAGGCATTTCAGGAAGTTGCACTGCTTCCTGTAAGGTAATAGAATATTAGAGGAAAGTGAGGTATAAGGAACATAGATATGTGCGTATATGTGTATATGTGCTTCTGTGTGTATACATATGTGGACAACCCTAACATATGCTTGATATACAGTCTAGCATTAAAGTCCAATTTCTGTACATTTACTCAGGATAAGAATTCTTCTGTAGAAGTGGTTGTAAGAAACTTTATTGAACTGGTGTTCAGTACTGGCTAGGGTCTTGATCTGTCAGTTTGGTTCAATGGATGTATGTGCTTCCTTACACTGAGCTACGGAGCCTCATTGGGTTCAGTGTAGGAATGTTGGAGGTCTTTTCTCACAGTCAGTTCAAGGGTTGGCCTTAAACTCAAAAGATAATGTGCTGTTATTACAACAATAGTAAATGGTCTTACTACATGTAATGTCAAATGAAGTTAATAGTATCAGATAATTCTAAAACATGCTTTTATTATTTTGAAACAGATTTGGTTCGTTTGAAATTTTTAAACCTCCTGATGAATACACTGGACGCAAGGGTCCCAGCGTTAACCGAAATGATATTCGAATACAGATGCTTGATTATGTGATCCGCACTTTCTACCCAGAAATCCAGGAGGCTTATTCAGATAACAGTATTCAGAGGAATGCTGCTTTCTTTAAAGAGGTAAGGAAGATCAGAGTCTCTTCATAATCCACTGCGGTTGTCTTTAGGAACTTCATCTGCCAGCACAGATGACTGGAGTCAGTTAATACTTTGTATCATCTCATTGTCTGAACTATTCTTTTCTTTGAAGAAAGCACTCTTAAATAGACCTGCTTATTGATGAAAGCAGTGTTGATACTGATCTAACCAATGAAAGCAATTTAACCTTCTTAATAGTAGATCGCGATGTCCCTGCTCTGGGGAAGCATCCCAAGACTTCTCTCCATTTGCTGAGACTGTCTTAGACTGTGAGAGAAAGTTCTGGCCGTGACTGTCAGATGATGAGTTGACAGTACTGAAATATCGCTTGAAAAACATTGTTTTATAAAATATTGAGAATGCTGAGTCACTTCCTGTGTCTCATTTTTCCAAATTACAAACAGGAATGTTGACTACAAATCACTTGATGAGGAGAACTGTGGCTGGTCACCCACTGTGTGCATGTCCAGCTCTGTAGTTGATGGCATGTTTACTTCCTGATGGCAGAAAAGTCATGGGACTTGGGGATCTTTGTGGATGTGTTTGTGTGCCTCTTCCTGCTTTTGGCTGCTTTTCCTGGCCCAGTTACTACTGGTTTTCTTCCAGGCCCCATCCCACTCCCTGCCCGGCCACACCACACACACACCTCCACCCCCCGCATCCTTTTCTCATTGCCCCGTATCCGGTTTTTTTATTTGTTGTGCTTCTCCTGCCTCTGCCTGTCTGCACTCCATGTCTGTGCTAGCACTGCCTCTTGTGTTTTCTCTTATCCTTAGTGGAGACTTTCCAGACTTTTCTCCACCTGAAAAGCATCTCAGTCTCTTCTCTAATTTGACAAACACATCCATCTTTTTTAATAGTGGGGAAGTGCTGTCAGCTCAACTCTAACATGTTTTATCTTTTCTTTGCATTGTGAAAGAAATGGAAAAGCACAAACAAACAACATTATCTGTACCTCTCAAATAATTTGTAGCTGTTGTTTAAATTTAAATGAGTGTGTCCTTCAGATAGTGCTCTTATTTATATATACAAAATACTTGTTTTCTAGTTTGTCTAGCAGTAGAAAAATGTTGATCAAAAAGAATAAAGCCCAAAGTGAGTGCAAAGCTGTCTCTTTTCTCATCAATATACCCATCTTTGAGTGGCACCCAAGCTTTAATTGCTTTTGGGCATTCTCATTAGAGGAATTTCTTTTTTACCACAACACTGGTGGTATGTGACGCATTCATAAAAAGACATCCAGCAGTAAAGAACTGCCTTACCACTGGAGTGCTTTCATTCCAACCCTCGTGACCAGGATTTTTTTATTTTTAACTTCTACCATCTTCCTGGCACAGAGCCATTGTGCAGGGTGTGCCTCTCCTACTGGTTTAGGGCCTAAGTAATCTGTTTTGGACACATGTAGCTGCTGGCTTCCAACTGCCCCATGAGAAAGTGTTCAGGAAAAATGGGTAAAGTACCTCCCATGAGAATATTGTCAAAAGTAGAAGCATGGGATCTCAAGGTGAACCAAAAGCTTATGTTCCAAGCATCATTTGTGGTTTTCACTACCTGTCAGAGGAAGATTTGTCTAATTTTTCTTCTTTACCTGACTGCACATGTTTTAAATAAAAAAAAAAACAAAACAGAAAAATTCTGGGTTTAAAGACAGAGGCATAGAAATGTTCAAGGAGAAACAATTCCTAGATAGGTTTTTGAACCTTAATGAAATACACTTACACTGCAGTCTGGAGCAAATAGTTGCTTTGAATTTCTGTACATTGATAGCTCTTTGGGAAGATGAGTGATTTTAGCTATGAAAATAATTTGATTTAAAAGTTTTAGCTAATGGCTAGATAAAATTTTTACTTACAGCAATTTAGTAAAGTATTTAGAACTACTTAGGTTTATTTAAAAAACAGATTAGCTTTCTGAATTTTAGATTTCATAGCACATAGTAGTTCTGATTGACAGGTGGATTAATATATTTAAATAACTATGAGTACTTTAGAATATTCCAGTATTTATTTGGTGGATGGGGCACATGCAGTGATTGCAGTCAAGGATTCCATAAAAATAACTCTCAGCTAAGCAGCAGAAATACCTCTGATGAAGCATGCTTTCAGTAAACAATTGCATTTAAATAAAATTGTCATTCTTGGAATATTTTTACTTAGTCTTGTAGCTTTTTTCCACTCTCAGCAAATTGAGGTAAGTGCTTATCAGCACTAAAACCTGTTCACAGGGAATAATTTTTTTGTGTAAACTATTTAACTTCCTGTAAATCACTCCTACATACTAGGTAAACCAGAAGAATAACTTCATACTGGGCTTCGTTGCATATAGTTAATTTTATTTCTTAGACTTTGCTTATGTGTTCTTCTGCCTGTAGTTACTCTTTAAAATTAGTAATAGGCAAAAGAATATATTTGTATAATGGTTAGACTAGTACTCGAGTCTGTCTCCAGCGCATTTTAAAGCTATTCTGTTGACTTGCAAGTCAAGCATGGAAGGAGAGAATAGGAGGCAAATGGAAATGGGAGACAGAGTGACAGGGCAGTCACTAACAGGAGGAGAGAGGCAAGCTGTCCTTAAAGATGTCTGTGTGTATGGCATGCTGCCAGAATCTGCTTCCATCAGAGCTGTAGAAACATCAGTTCAGACTAGGAAATGCTTGGAAGTACATAAATGTGTTGGAAATACATTGTGATGAAAAATGGAAGAAATATATTTGTTTTTAGATAACCAAACGAACCGCGAGGTTGGTGGCCGAGTGGCAGTGTGTTGGGTTTTGCCATGGTGTGCTGAACACAGATAACATGAGCATCGTTGGACTGACCATTGACTACGGCCCTTTCGGATTCATGGACAGGTCAGTGTGGCAGCATTATTTGAAATGTGCATATGTACATGCTGTGTAGACCAGTCCTGGTATTTATGGTTGCTCTAATATTTTAACTCTAAAGTAGTTTTATTAATTCTCTTTATCGCAAAGTAGGTTAAGTTAGTTCTAGTTGTCTTCTTTTCAACTTCTTTTTAACTGTTCACAACATCCCTAACTGTTAGACTGTAGCCTGTGGGTTTGGGAAAAGAATCAAGGAGTGTTCCCTTTCATATTTTTTAGTTCCTAGAGCAGACTAAAATAATAAAAGTACTGCTTTTCACAGTACTGGTGTCCAGTTAACTGGAAGAATGCTTATTATTTCTTCATTTGTAGGTATGACCCTGAGCACATTTGCAATGGTTCTGATAATACAGGGCGCTATGCTTACAACAAACAGCCAGAGATTTGCAAGTGGAACCTGGGGAAACTTGCTGAAGCTCTAGTTCCAGAACTGCCTTTGGAAATAAGTGAACTCATCCTGGAAGAGGAATATGATGCAGAATTTGAGAAACATTATTTGCAGAAGATGAGGAAAAAACTAGGCCTAATCCAGCTGGAATTAGAAGAAGATAGTAAGCTAGTATCTGAACTCCTTGAAACCATGCATCTCACAGGTTGGTGAAGAGCAGGTTATTATTTAATAGCCTATCAGTATCTATAATCAACCCAAAATATAATTTATATCTTGACCTTACGAGAAAGTAGCCTTGTGCAACTACATTGTCATCTGAGAGAAGAACAACAGACTGAAAAATGATTACCTTATTGTGAACTGTGGAGTAGTTGTTGCCTTATATAGGACTCCTGTCTCACATTTGCACCCTCACTGAGGGAACAGTTTATTTGCCTCTTCAGAGTGATGACCTGTACTGCTGTAGAGGGAGGTAGGAAAGAGGTATGGGACCAGTTTTCCTGCTGATTTATTAGTTGCATTATTCATACCACACTTTTTCAGGTGGAGACTTCACAAATATTTTCTACTTGCTGAGTTCATTCTCAGTGGACACTGATCCTTCAAAATTTGAAGATTTCTTAGAAGAGCTTACAAGTCAGTGTGCTTCTGTGGAAGAACTGAAAGTTGCTTTCAAACCACAGATGGATCCAAGGTATTATCCCACTTAAATGCTTTTGGCTTTTGCTTGTAGTTTCAGTATAACCATAACGAACTCTGTATGGTATGTAATATTTGACTAATTTTAAGATTGGAAATATCACTGTCAAATAGATGTATCATGATCTACATCTATGACTTGCAGCAGTTGGCTCTTGGATTAAAGTTTCTGAGCTTTAGTTGGCCCTTTTTTTTTCCCTCCCCTGTCTCTGCTGACTGAGGCAATGAGAGAGCCAAATAATGAAGTGATACAAAAGTATTTTACAGAAGAAATGGATGTGAACTGTAATGCTGCTGTGTTCTGCTAATGTACTGTCAGCAAAAAAAGTCGCTTTTAGCAACCAATGTTCTGGCCTAAGTATAACCCAAGTGCCCACTTTAGGTATAGTCCATGTCTAATTTGTTCTGCAGTCCAGCTACTCTGAGCATGTTCAACTGCTGCTTATAACGGTGATTGCATCCGTTTTTCACTTCTTGCAGAGGAGGGAAAAAAATAAAGGTATTTTCAGTATGTTCCCCTCCCCCCACACTTTGCTTAATAAGTGCTCCATGGAGGTAATGAACCTACCAAATTTTTCAGCTTTTCTTTGTGTTGATACCACAATATGAATATAGCTTGTGTGATAGAGATGAGACAGTATTTTTTAAACACTGCATTCAGGTCTAGAGAAACATGAAAAGCAGCTATAAATCATCATGATATGGGTGAGTACATAACTGATTTTTTTAATTGCAGCTCTTGGATATCATATAGGTAGACATTATATAAAGTATAGTACTTTATATAAACTCAGAAATTAAAGCACGCAGCTTATCTCTGCTTACTAAAAGTAGGAAAATATAACCGGCTATAACGAGTTGTCTTTTGAGGCCAGGGAATAATATTTATTTTCTCCTTCATAAAGGAGATAAATATACTTAGTGTATTTTGATAGGCTGTAACTCTGTTTTTTTTATTTTACTTTATGCTGTAGTTTAGTTATTAATCCAGGAAAAATAAAAGTTACCTAACATGGTATCAAAAAATAAGGTGAAACACCAGCTAACACAGTGAAATGTGAAAAGATACAGTCCTAGTCAAACTTGCAACAAAACAGTCTGGATATTGTTAGGAATTTATTACCAAAAAGCAATTCTCATTCTGTGATTTAAACTGGCTAACTGAAAATATTAAACATAGTGTTTCGCTATTAAACATAGCAATTTAAATGAAGTATCTTTCCCCATATCATTTAGGTTTTTATTAGTACTAATAAAATCAGTAGGTGTTAAAGAAATAAAAAAAACCCCAAACAACAAAACCTGTGAATTCTGTATTATCTTGATAGCTAAGTAAGATCAAATTTTTTATTCCAAATTCATTTTAAAGTTCCAAGGGTATTTTGATAAGACCTGCACAAGTAAACTCAACTGGTAATTCTGAAAATCTACTGTCTGCTCTTTATATACCGGGGGAAAGAAAAGTAAAATTAGCATAATTTATAATTTTAAAAGCGGTTTTGTTGATTATGAATTTCTGTTATTTCTAAATCATAGTTTGTTGTGAATGTTTTCATATGTAGTTTGATTGCTAAGAGTTGCTTCTTGACAGGCAGCTCAACTTCACTATCTAATGTGTTTGTTCTTTTTGTTCCTAGACAGCTGTCGATGATGCTGATGTTGGCTCAGTCTAATCCGCAGCTCTTTGCATTAATTGGAACAAAAGCTAATATAAATAAAGAATTAGAACGCATTGAACAATTCTCTAAACTGCAGCAGTTAACAGCTGCTGATTTACTCAGCAGAAATAAAAGACACTGGAAGGAATGGCTGGAGAAATACAGGTAAAGTTTCTCAGTATTCATAGTACTGTATTTCTGCATTTTGAGAACGACGTGCCTGTCTCATGAAAGGCACTCTCTCTCAAACGTAGATTAGGAGAAATAGGGAGGACATGCAGTTCAGAATATTATCTGCTTTGTTGCTGTGAAAGTTCAAGGGCACCTTTGTTCTTTGTTTGCTAGATTTTGTGGTAGGGTGAGGGTGTAGAAATCACCTAGCATCAAATCTAGTATTAAAAGTGCTTCAAGAGTGTTGATGTTGATTCTAACAGAGACTAATTTCAGTTGTGAACTTTTAAGTGCTCAGTAACTACAACTGACTGACCTTTAAGTCCTTTGAATTTTCTTTTTTCTGAAAGAAAAATCTGTGTATTAATATAGAAATCAAGTAGAATTATTCTTAATCAAAGAGTAACTGTAAAAGAAATCGTGGCCAGGAAAAAATGTCCAGACTCTTCTAAAGCCTAAGTGTTAGCAGGGTTTTTTGTAAAGAAAACCCCTGAGTAGAGCATCAGTTGTTTGTACTGTGTGGATTAGGTCCTTTCTGTACCTGGCTGATCTTGTTCTCCAGTGGGGCTCAGTTTTAGTGAGTATTACTGATAAAACGTAGATCAAGCTGCCTCAGCTGTATTGCATCCCTTTGCTTTTATCAGAACAGCAAAACCTTAACCAATAAACAAGCATAGAAATACTTAAAAGACAAGACCTGAACGTGGCAGTCTTTGTGGAGCAATGCAGAACAGACCATGCACCAGTGTCTTGATCTGACTTTGCGAGAACACAAAAGCTGTGGTGTGCCACTTCCTTGAGCTTTGTCAGGACCTGCTGACAGTCTGTAGTGCTGCTTTTATGAATGAAGTGACATCTTATATTCTGTTGTCATGCTGCATTTTATAAACTGAGAGGATTATAGATGATGTAATATTTATTAAGAACTGCAAACTAAGGATCTCAAAGCAAGGAAACATATCAACTTTCACATATGATTCTTGATCCAAACCAGTTGTTGTCACTTGCTTAATTTCAGAGTCCGTTTGCAAAAAGAAATAGAAAGTGTTGGTGATGCTGGTACCTGGAACACTGATCATGTGAAGGTCATGAATTCAAACAATCCAAAATATATCTTGAGAAATTATATTGCCCAGAATGCCATAGAAGCAGCTGAAAATGGGGATTTCTCAGAGGTATGCTATTACTACTTACACCCTCTCTAGATTTGCATGGATATGTAGTGCTGGTGTAGATGACTGACATTATGCTTGCCAAGATTTGGTCTGGCATCTCAGGCAGTAAGGGCATTGGAAATTCACTGTTCAGGAGGTCTGTATTGTTTTTGAGGGGGCTGTAATTTTAATGACTGCAGAACAAATAACTGAATCAAAAATCTGACTGAACTTCACCAGCTTTTGTAGGCTGACCCCAGGGCAAGACACTTATTCCTGCTTTTTCTTTCTTGAGAGTGGCATTTATCTTGGGAGGCAGTTGAGGATTAATTTATACTTGTTCCTTGCTGTGCTAAGTGTTATCATAGAATCAACTGGGTTGGAAAAGACCTCTGAGATCATCAAGTCCAACCCTTGATCCAACACCACTGTGGTTACTAGACCATGGCACTAAGTGCCACATCCAGTCTCATCTTCAAAACCTCCAGGGACAGTGAATCCACCACCTCCCTGGGCAGCCCATTCCAATGCCTGACTACTCTGTAAAAATTTTTTTCCTAATATTCAACCTAAACCTCCCCTGGCACAACTTAAGCTTATCTTTTAAAACTTATGGCTTTCACCTGTGGGCTTCAGCACAGGGAATGTTACATGCACAATATGGGGAAATTAATTTGTTTTGAGAAAAGCACTTGCATTTCAGGTTATTTGAGCTTGAGTCCCATACAGATACAAACCCAGTTACAATTACTGATTTTTTGATTTCAGCTTATTTGATATGTATATTGTTCACCTGTTTAATATTTGGCTTGTCTGGAGTTCATGTATTAAATACAATATACTGATTATTTGGTGTGAAGTTCTTCTCCACAACATTTTTCCTTCGCTTTCTAAATTCTCATAACCATGCAATGTTTTCTCTCTAGGTAAGAAATGTACTGAAACTTTTAGAGTGTCCATTCCAAGAAGCAGAAGGTTTCAGGGAGGTAAAGGAAGGTGCAGAAGAGGAGGGAGCAACTGCCACAGCAGCTGCTTGTGCTGAAGAGACCAGAAGCAGACTACCATATTGCAGCAAACCTCCACTTTGGGCTTCAGAGCTATGTGTTACATGATCTTCATAACTGCCTTGTTTTGTTTTTTGCTGTAAACTGAAGACTCTGATCCTCCTTCAGCAGTGAAGAATTCAGCAAGGCACATATTGAAGTGCTATTAAGTTATTGAAGCAACCCTACATTTGGATGCATCTGCAGCACTCTTCATCTGTGCCTAATTTGAAGCAATTGTTGATCAGTGGAACAAACCAGTGGCAATTAACAGTTCCTATACATCAGTAATCTCAGTGTTTTGAGACTGAAAGTATTTCCTTTATCCATACTACATCACAAGTGTAAAGCAATATTTTATGCTGAATTTTGAACATCCAAATGCAGTTGTTGTTACGTGAAGACAAAAATAGCAAGACAGGAATCTGATCTGTTTTTGTCCGATGTCTTAACTAATAGTACTTCTGCTATTTATTTACTGCTTTCTCTATGCAGGGACTTTTAGTCCTCTTTAATGGAGGAACAAATTCAGTGTTGCTTGTTTGAAGCTATGTTTCATTTAATTAAGTAGTTCATTTCTTGTGAACCTTCAGATTGGTATTTAATCATTATCTATTTTCAGAGAGTTTGTGCAGGGCAGGCTCGAGTTTGGGGGGAGGAATCGAATTTTTTTTAAGAGCAGAATTAAGGGAGTTTATATACATTTGCACTTGAAAACTTGGTGGTGAAGTTTATTCAGGCACAGGATGTTGCATACAACATGTGTAAATATTTGCTAAACTCATGAGTGCAGTTTGTAAGCCAATTGCTTTGGGCAGGATCCATTAGCCAAATTAGTGAACCTTAAACTACCCCAGCACTCAAATCCAGGTTCACTGTGTATTTTTTCTGTGCTTCCAAGTCTTGCTGTATGAGAAGCGTGTACGTGGGGTGCCTGGTCATCACACTGGTCAGTGGGGTTGTTCCATTCCCCGTCTAGTCTTGCACCATTCAGTTTACTTACATGGTCTTTAAAAAATCTTTAAGTTTGAAGTTGCCATTCAGAAATGTGCTATTTGAGCTTGTCTGAAAGATGATGGAGGATGTGGGAGGAGAACAGGAGCTGACTTGCTTGCAAGTTACTTATTGGTAACGTTTCTGTTGAGGTTTCAGGGGAAAGTTGGTTACCATTATTGTCACATTAGCAAAAGAGAGTTCTGTAATTAGTTGTTACTTAGCTTTCTGAACTTCTTTCTAAAAGACTGTGTTACTGGTTCAGATACCTGCAAAGTTTGCTTTAATGCAAAGGCTTCTCTTTTCCAAAGAGACCACTGTCTTACACTGTGATTTATGTGTACTCAAGTACACGTCCCCTGTGCAAGCTTGGTATTAGCTCAGGTAGAATTGTGCTCTTTTAAGTCTTCCTCAATACGAGCTGTTGAAAAACAGGACGAACAGTTGGGCTGCTGCTTGTCTTTCTGTACTAATAATCGGTTTGTCCTCCTTACTGCTGCAGTACATAGACAATGTTTTGAATGTGAACATTCACTCTGTCCTGCCTTCAAGCTGAAGAAACTGATTTATGATAAACTAGAATCTCTGACAAGTACAGTACTTTCTGTGAGGTTTTGGAGTTCTTGCAGAAAAGGACAAACTTGAAGGTGTATTTACATAGCCCATGGAAGAATTGTGCAGTTGAAAGAGGAAGCACCTCGAAGAAGTAGGCAGTAAATAATGCCAGCCAGCACAGCTGATCATCTTCTAGGAATAATCCATTTTTGTGGGAGTTTGAGACTTTAGTTGGGGATTAGCCTTCCTCTAAACTTGGGATACTGGAATCAAACCATTTAATGGAAACTTCTAGCAGAAAGTGAGGGCTGGGTAAAAAGGACTGCACCAAGGAGGGAAAGTGTGCCAGCAGTTTGAAAGAGGCTTCAAACATTTCCCTGCGGAATCAGTGGTCTCTTATGGTGTGCCTGGTCCAGAAGGGGAGTAATGGAGTGGGGAGAAGTTGCTCCAAGCTGATTGACATAACTCTGTGCTGATTTTTGCTTCTCAGTTTACATCCTTCCTTGTGGGAAGCAAAGGGGAACAGAGTTTTAGAGGAGCTCTGTCCAAGCTTTTGGCTTAACAGAATGGTCTAACATGTAATGATTCTTAACCATACCTAAGGGATTAAGTCTTTTTAATGGCGTTCTGATAATAATTTAGGGACATTGAGTAGATCTGTATTAATAGCAGTATGGAGAAGGAGAACAATATTATAACTCTGTGTTTGAACATAGGAGAATTTTAATTAACTACCAAATTGTTGTCACCTATAATACCAAAATCATGGAAAGAGATACTTTGAAATAACTTACTAGCAATGTTATCCTTAAAAAAGAAAATGAATACTACAGTGAGAAACAAAAATGTGGTAGTGTTTGCTGTTAAATAGATTCTTTGCTTACATGTAGATCAAGATGTAGATGTAGATCTTTGCTTACATGCAAGAGGTCTAGCAAGATTGAAATGATGAATGCAGTATGCTGGTGTGGCTGCTTTGATGTGCCACTCACTAAAGTTGTATTTGTCATAAGATGTTCACCAACAGAAAGAAATATGGAGTGTATTCACATAGTCTAACTGCACTGACATCCAACTGCTCGGTTTCCAAGTGCATGCAATAACATCAGTGCTTTGTATTTGAAGAAGTGTGATGATCTGAAGCCAAGTGGAATGCTTGTGCTCTTCCAGCACTCTCATTTCAGAAGGCAGGTCATAGTTTCATCTCTGATGATAGTTTCTTCTATTCTTGTTCCTGGAGCAGTGTGGAATCAGGAGGTTGTTCAGGACAATTAGACCAAATTTTGTCCAGCTAAGAACTTTGTCTCTTAGCTCAGTTCTTCAGAGAGAAGGGAATACAGCTTATAGCATTTGAGAGTCTAAATACTTGAATCATAAATTGCTTTTTTATTTTTACAGCTTGTATTTGCAATAGGTAAACCTGAAAATTATATTTCTTACTGGTCAAATATTCTGCTTGTATAAAAGCCATGGAGTTTGACAGGTGCACTGTTTGCTGGTTAAGAACTGGCTGGACAGCCGGGCCCAGAGAGCAGTGATGAATGGTGATTGACAGCAGGCTGAACATGAGCCAGCAGTGTGCCCAGGTGGCCAAGAGGGCCAATGGCATCCTGGCCTGGATCAGGAACAGCGTGGCCAGCAGGACCAGGGAAGGGATTCTTCCCCATTACTCAGCACTTGTTAGGCCGCACCTCAAGTCCTGTGTCCAGTTCTGGGCCCCTCATTTCAGGAAGGATGTTGAGGTGCTGGAGAGTGTCCAAAGAAGGGCAATGAGGCTGGTGAAGAGTCTGGAGCACAATTCCTATGAGGAGTGGCTGAGGGAGCTTTTGTTTAGCCTGGAGAGGAGGCGGCTCAAGGGAGACCTCATCACTCTCTACAGCCACCTGAAAGGAGGTTGTAGCCAGGTGGGTGTTGGTCTGTTCTCCCAGGCAACCAGCAACAGGACAAGAGGGCGCAGTTTTAAGCTGCTCCAGGGGAGTTTAGGTTGGACATTAGGGAGAAGTTCTTCACAGAAAGAGCAATTGGGCATTGGAATGGGCTGCCTAGGGAGGTGGTAGAGTCACCATCCAGAAAAGACTGGATGTCTTAATGCCATGGTCTAGTTGACAAGGTGATGTTAGGTTGGACTAAATGATTTTTTCCAACCTAGTTGATTCTGTGATTCTGAGCTGTGGTCGAAATGAAGCGGTGACTCTTCTTATCAACAGCTTTCTGTGGAAATACTTGATTTAGACTCAGCCTGTGGCTATACATCCTGAACTACCCTTGTGTAAAAGCAAGTGGTACCCAGATTGCAAAACTGAAATGAGAACCTCTTGGAGATGTGTCTCTGGATAGTCTTGTGTGATAGTGCGGCTCCTCTCATGGCTTGATAAGGTTTCACTGTAACTCTGCTTCGTGAGCTTGTGAATCTACAATTGCTGAATGTTTTACTGTCAGCTCTTACTTGGAATGTTTTGTGGGTTGTTTTGGGGTTTGGTTTTTTTGTTTGTTTGTGGGGTTTTTTTCCCCAATAAGTGCTACAGATTTGATTCTTTTATTAAAAATAATAAAACTTGCAATTTTAATATTCTTGTTCATGCCTATTTCCCAAAATGGTTTTACTGTTGACCATACTGTTTGCCAACTTCATTTCTTTAGAAGTTTTTGCCCTGTTAGTATCAGAGGGCCAGGTCATATCACAGAAACCTCACCTTATATTTTTGCAGTGTTTTCTGAGGAGTGAACTCACAGGTTTCCTGCCTTGCCAGCTATTTTGGTGGTATGCTTGGAGCAAGGTAAGGGCCCTCACAGTATTCAAAGGGAAACCTCCCTCCCACTTACTTGGCTATAAGACCTATGCTGACACCACTTTTATTCTTCCTTATGTCATTGGAATTAAACGGATCACCTGATGTCAGCAGATTCAGGATGGGATTTTAACTCTGTTGACAGAAGTAGGCCTTTGGGTAGAAAGTGAAGTTGTATTTTGTTTATTAGTTTATTTAAACCAAATAATTTAAACACACATGTGGCTCCTCGGGGTGCTTCAGCTGGGGTAAATCTCTGCACTCCAAAATATCTGTTGAACAGACTGGTTTCAGGTATTCTGCATTTGAGTTTGTCTGTGATGGAAGTGGGTTTAGGCCAAACCTGCTGCTTGTGCCTTTGCATGGAGTGCATTCAGACATGGTCCACTGAAAGAGCAAATTCAGGCCTTGGTTATCCTGAATTTACTTTGTCAGCTCCATGTTTCACATATTTGACTGTGTATCTCCCTCCAGACAGCACCCTTCATCAGGTCACACACTGCCACACGCTCTGGCTGCTCACTTGTGCTCAATAATGTCCAAGCAGCCCCAATGCCCCTCCTTAGCTGATCCTTCAGCATTGTTAACACAGGTGGTGGGACTCGGGCAGCTTTACCTCTGACCAGAGTCGATGAGACAGGTGGAGGCAGTAACATGCACTTACCCCTCCAGAGCCGGGTGACAGCTGGGGGTAATGGATGTGAATCCAAGAGGAGGGTTTCACGATGCTGTCACATCCAGTGTAAGATCACACAGTTATGGCTGAGTTCTAAATAATGCAGCCACTACCTCTGTTACATCTTTTCATTTGACTTTGTGCTTCCTGCATTTACAGTGGGACATTTTTTGTGTGCAGTGACATTGCTCAGTTCCTCTCAACTGTATAAAAATGTTGCATTCAGTCCCCCCACCTTCCCTTAACACTTCTATTTTCCCTCATTCCCAAATCAGCCATGGAACTGAAGGATACAGCTTCCCTGTGTCAGGGCAGGTACCATGGCATATAAATCAAAGGATATTAGGGGCAGTGATAAAGCTCCAGACACACGTGAGTATAGACTGTACCTTCTTCTGTTCATGCAGTTCTTGCAGCAGATGCATAATTAATAAGGGAGCAGAAACGCAAAGGGAACAGCCAGGCTTATCTGTCTCTCCAAGGCACGCAAAAAATCTGAAGCTCCCTGCTGCTCCTCCTCCCCTGCTGCTGTTTTGGCTGGGCAAGGACAGTGCTGCAGCACTGCAGAGCTCTTGCTGAGCATGCACCTTCAGCAGGTAAACCCAGAGGTGAGATTTAATGATACTTTGGGCAAGTATAAACAGAAAACATTTTTTTTTTGTAGACAAAGCTGACCTACAAAGCTTACTTCATGGGTTTTCTAGTCTGGAGTCGATTTAGAAGTTGACATTTTTATACAGTAGAACATTAGATGGTTGGATTGTTAAATAGCATTTCCTCTTTTTTTTTTTTTTAAGTGGCACAAAGAAAGATGGATACTATTACCACTTTTTCAGGTGGAAAATCTAAAGCACCAAGAGATTAGGTGATTTTGCTGAAGACAGCAAAGCAGTGCTGGCTCCCAGGCCTGGCTGGTGACGGAACAGGTTTTTCATGCCCTGAGCAGCAGGCTGTGGTGTGGTCCATCAGCTGCACACAGAAATGAAAAGGACCTGGGCTGACACTGTGGGCAGTGATGGGGATCAGTAATAGGCAGCTTCTGCCTCCTCAGCTTGTCAGACAGGAAACCTCCCATCTGAAATGCTCTTCCCCTGAGTTAATTCAGCACCAGGACTGGCATTACGACATTCCTCTTATGTAAACTGGCTTTTCTCCTCTGTTCTTTTGCAGCCAAAAAACAAAAGGTGATCCATTCACCTTTAAATCTTCCCCAGAAGTGGAGATAGCAGATTCTCTATCAATGAATGTGAAGCCAGGGCAAAAGGAGGTCAAGGAGGGAATGCTCTTGAGCTGCCTTTGGCAGGCCCCATACACTGTAGCTCTGCTGGCTGTGGGGCTTTCACCCTTCCACCTTTATTTAGCAGTTACCAGTGCCAAGGTGTGGATCAGAATTCTGTAGATGATT